CGAGGCGGCGCGCGCCGTGGGCGGGGCGAGCGGAGTGCAGCGCGCGCCGGGCGGGGACGCGCTTCCTGCGCCGCGCCGCTAGCGCCGGGCGGCGCTCGCCGATCCGGAGCAACTACTAGCGACCCGCGAGCGAAGCGGGAAGCTGGCCCGAGATGGCAGGCTGCTGGAAAGGAGCACCTGCGCCAGAGGCCGTGAATGGGAGGACTGCCATTTGCGAATAGAGGAATTAGTCTAAGAAGGGACAACTCTGACAGATCGGAAAACAATGAACGACATGCATAGCAATGGCAATTGCAAGAGATAGTGACAATTACAAACTAGAGTCAATTACAAAAGAGCTAACTTTAAACGAAAGTGATGAAAAAAATGAGGCATGGATTTAACTGCAAGTTATATTGCCAGTAAATGGCCGAGTGTATCTGTTCAAAGGGTCTTTCTTTAGTAATCTCTAAAACTTACACTTTGATAAAATCACGAAGTCCTTCAAGCGTCACGAGTTGCAGCGCAGAGGGGGTCACTGTCGTGAATCAGGAGCTTTGTTTCCGACTAATTTTTGGTATTGCAAGCTTTCGATTGGATGACAGTGTCCCTCTCTCTTTTCAGGTTGTGACTTTAAAAGACGTTTGCGTGTTTCAATCGAAGCCTCTCATCATCCTGTAACGTCAATTCAAGCCATGTAGTGCAAAATAACTGACCGGTGAAGTTCTATGTTGGAGACGATAGCAAATGTTTATATCCAAGTTCGTAATTTGGTGATATCGGTGCGAGTGTCGTACAATACTTTTAACCGCCAATTTTATAAGACACAAAATAATTTAAGAAGAAGTACATTTTTTAGAGTTGGGGTTCTCATCTGCCTCGCAGAGCGCCGCGCCCCCGCCGCCGCCGCCGCCGCACGCCCCCCTACGCGCAGACGGCCTCGACCGCGAGCCCGCACCCGCCGCGGCGCCGGAGCAGCCGCCGGTCTCGCCGCCGGTGCCCGCTTCGCCGACCAGGTATCAATTATTGCTGGCGGCACGCAATGCTGACAGCGCGCGATGGTAGAGCGATTAGATTAGTATCTTAGAGGGGATGCACGATTTCGGAAAAGAGGCTTGCCACAGTACAATGATTAAACAAACTACATTCATTCTAATTTCATTCTACGTTAATAATTCTACTCTAATATAATTCTACGTTCATTCTAATTCTAAGGATTTTGAAGCTGACTAGGCCCTTCTGTATCGGGGGCGAATGCGGACCTCAGAGTGTTTGGTTAAGTGAATCAGTTATATCTTCGTCTCATTCTCCTACTTCGCCTCTTTCCTCTTTATCCTTTCTCTCTCTATATCTTTCTTGATCTCTTCTGGTTTCCTTTGCTCCATCTCCTATTTCTTCTACCCATCCTGGATGCCCCAGCTAATAACAAAGAAAAAATACCTCTCTGCTATTAGTTCCTCTAAGTGATAGTAATTTGGCAAACCAATTGCAGGGGTAGCTGCAATATGGTGCGAGTAAAGCAAAAACGTTCAGTGGGTTACCTAATAATAACTGACAGAAGACAGCGAATCACTGTGCTCAGCTAAACATATTAACCGATTACGCATATTCAACATATATAATGAACATTAAGGGTATTGAATTAAAACATTTATTTCATAATTAGAAATTACTAATTTATAGAAAATCTTCTAATTCTTACAGGATATCCTCCTCTTGCTTCTTTTTTCAACACACTTGAACCATTAGGTAGTGCAAAACCTTTAAATTTGGAAATAAGCATTTCCCTCTGATTTGGAAACAGCAACGTTCGACTGTACTCATGTGTTAACAGAGGGGCGGAGACAGGCGACGGGGCGACCGTGCCTGCCGCCACCGGAACAGCTCAAGATCCAGAGCCGCCGCCCCCTGCGCCGTCACCGCCCCCGTCTCCCGTGGTGTCCACGCAGCCCAATCAGCCCGCCGCCGTCGCCGCCGAGCCGGCAGAGCCCGCGCTGCACACAGCCAAAGAACGCGAGTGCTGGCGCCTGTATCGGCGCATGTGTGCCAAGGGCGTCGCCGTCTCTTTCGACACCGTGCTCAGGTCAGTGGTCTCCGCTGCCTGAAAAATCATGGAAAACGACCGATCTAGTCGCTCTCGAGTTCTCCATCTTGGAGTAACCAAGGCAAGAAGTGTCTAATAGAAGTAGTAGTTCCTAAGGTTGCGAGCGACCTCTGGTGGTCCATTTATGGATATACTCAGCAGTTAAGGTTGCCATCCATTTATACATTAGCTTTTAGTATTTTTCCTGTTGTTGCTGCTACCATATTCCTCCATTTCGCTGGATCCTCTGTCGCTCGGATGATAGAATTCCAGTCAAGTCCTATTATTGTCTTAATTTCATCTGACCTCCTTGTTTTCCTCCTGCCCCTGCCTCTACATTAGGAAATAGACCATCGCATTAGATCCTTCCTTAAAAAGAAACCTCTCTTCTTATGAGGTGTCCGAAATATTGCAGTTTTAAGCCGATGGTTACAGCTAGTCACGAAGAGCTCAGTGCATTTCCTTTATAATAGATGAATTTGTCTGCCTAGAAGTCCATGGAACTCTTTCTCCACGTCCACATTTCAAAAACGTCTAGTTTTCTTTTGTCTACTTTCTTAAGTGTTCAGTTTCACAAGCTTAAAGCACAACAGGAAATACTATGTTTTTTACTAATTAAACTTTGCATTTTCTCGAAATGTCTGATTTCGAGAAAATTCTTTTCATGATTCATAAAGTTATGAAATTTTTTTTTTTCATGATTTTTATTAGTTTGGACATAGCTTGCCAAATCAAATCCTTTTTATTTCCTGCCGTGTGTTGCCATCTTTTGTTATTTATGATCCTAGGAAGTTGTATTCATTAATTGACTTAATACTTATTCGGACCCCCTATTCGGACTCCACTTTGTACATATTCCAGGCCTGCTTGTATCATAATGTTTTCTCTCTCTCTCTCTCTCTCTCTCTCTCCTCTCTCTCTCTCTCTCTCTTCTCTCTCTCTCTTCTCTCTATAATATATTTATATATATATATATTATATATATATATATATATATATATATATATATATTAGCATAAATACTGTGCGTTGGCGAGGTATTTATCACAAAAATAATATATTATACAGGAAGAGCTATTCCATTTATCCCTGCCCTGCAGCGAAACCTACTTGTATCTATTCTATTGTGTCCCCGCTCCTTCTTACTCAACCTTTCTCTGCCTTGCTCCCATTTGGTAATATCCTGGCTTCCTCACTGAAAATGTATATATTTTATTGCCATTGGGGTTCTGGCCTCCAAACTTCACTCACTTTATAACTAAAAATAAAAAAAAAAATCTAACTCCCCAAAAATACATATACTCATATTATGTTTGTAGAATTTTATCAATTATTTCCATAGTTTCAATCAGTTGCATTATAAAACATTCTTTTTCATTTTTTATCATCTAGCGCATTTATAAAAAAAATATTTATGACACCACACAGAGGCAATGAAAATATAAATATAAATAAAGTGCTTGTAATTGAATTCGAGTTAGCGTTTTAGGGACCTTCATAGTGGCTGAAGGAAAGGTGCCATTAACCACTTAGACAGTTATATCTAAGTATACTACAATAGTATCTCCAAAAATCCCAGATCACACAGTGTATCCCGGCTTCTCAATTTTTTTTCTGTTATCTTAAAGCTCTTTTGCTCTATTTTCAACAATCTTGGAATAGTGTTGACTCATTCATTTCCTTCCATTTCTCACTATTCTTTTACTTCAATACTACGTCTTCTTGCCGAACATTCATCAATTTAAATAATTATTCATTTATCACCCCAAAGTACGCTTCTCTTCTATAATAAAACACTTCCCTACAAAAATGCATCCATCCGTGACACTTTCAGCTTAACACATAAATCATTCATAATAAGTTTCACTTTCACTCACCCCGACTCATCCCGACCTACTCCATCCCATTCGCAAAGACGTAATAATCATACTTATTATACTACTACTAGAGCAATAACTATTTTATGTAGAACACTTGCCTGCATTCATACCTTTTTACGACAATATTAAACGTCCATCAGCAAAATGTCTATTTCCAAGAATTTCACATATGAATACGTTTGTATTAGAATAATACTTCTCTCTGGCACACTTAATACATTCACGCATATATGCAATTAAAATCCATAACCGAGTTATTTGTATAAATAGAGTGAAGAAAAATAGAATTATTCTTCAATATATATTCCTCAATCTATTATTTTAAAATTATGATTCTTCTGTTGAGGCTGCAAAATATTGCTTACATGATTGGGAGAGCATTAGCAGAAACTGTGACGAGAAGTTTTGTGCATCGCCTTCTGTGTTCTCATCGGACGAGGAGTTCTGAAAAAAGTGACACAACTGACAAAGATTATTACTTTGCCGTAAGAATCAATTACCATTGAAGAGATTGTCATGGTTACCTGTCTGGACGAAAATAAACGTTCTCCTCACGAATATCACGTCATTCATGCTTTCTGCTTTCTCGCTCCGCGTTTCAAAGCGCTGGTTCAAAGAAACTACATGATAATTGCTTCCTGCCAACGTACCACCAACTACCCATGCGCCCAATGCGCGTATTGCGTAGCTTCTCAGCATGCTACGCTATGCTACGAAAATGGTACGATTTTCAAACAATGCGAGCTCGTCGCGTCTGATGTGAAAAAAATTGGAGTCCGGGAAATCTGATAATGAGTAAATCTTTCGTCGCGGCTGTCCAGGAGGTGGCGCGATCTATTGGGGGATTTTCGAAAGAGTTGAAATTCGAGAGCTTTGTACAAAAATTAATTTTTTGTCAAAGATTTCGCGCGTTTTTTTAGCAATTTCGAAGACGGGACGTTTGAAATGTATGATCTTTTTTCCTTAAATTCCTTCAAGAATGGCGAAACTGAGATAGTCGAAGCTTGGCGCCAAAATTTGAATTAATTTGGCCACCATGTACCAACAAGACACATTTCGTATTAAATAATTGAAGGAAGATTCAACAAAGTCCTCAGCTACTCTACAGATATACGCAATTCAGTAAATTGATTAACTCAATCGTAGACCTCAGTCGTATTCACCTCTCTATCTTAATCTGTCTTTCTGGCCCTCTCATACACATTTAGTTGCAGATTTTTCATGTCTTTGAGCAGGTGGTTAATATTGAGAAGCGCCAGACCAATAAAAATGTAACAGAATGTTCAATAAGATCTCATTCTGCTGTTTGCGGTGTGAGAAATGTTTCTTTGAGGTCTCTGGCCTCAATATTTTAGTTTTTAGTGCACTAGAACGCTTCGTTCGGAAGCTATTTAACGATATAGTGTCAAAAATCTTGCCATGTGCTGCGGTATTCAGGGATATCACTGGAAAATAAATGATTTGTCCATGGGTCGTGTCTATAATGTGTTTATATGTCATGCTTATAGAATAATAATTTTATAAGTTAAATCAGTTATAACAGATGGATTTACAGACAGATAAAATTTATTTGAGAATAAATTTCACTTATAATTGCCCGAGTAACATCCGTCATTCGTTCATTACTCAAATTAACGCACTTCCGGCAGAATTCAATTACTTTTGAGCGGATTCTTCACAGGAGTCACAGACTACCCTCTGTTCAACCATCGGCGCTGTGGCACCGCCCCGCTGTCGTCTTTCCATTCCAACAGCGCTATTACGGCCTGGTTGATCTCATGCAGCAATGTCTCCATCGCTGCAGTCCCCAGCTCACCATTAGTACACTAACAAGTTCACTAGCTCGTCCTGCCCTGCTCGGCGCCACCCCGGGTCACAAGGCAAGGCAACTTGCAATAAAAATACACATTATTACTACTACAGTGTACGCGAAATATTGAAGCACATCTCCATGTCAAATGCCCTCTTATGACGTTTTGATAAGCGACTCCAGCGTCTCGCGGCGGCAAAGGAACAGTACGCCGATTACATTCGACACTACATTCGTGATACAGTTTCGTTCTGCTCAATACGGCAAAAAGGAAACGTTTATACTCTTGAATTTCCTCTCGAATATAACTAAATATTCAACAGATGAAATATATATGTATTTTTTTAAGAGAAAAATTAAATATAATGAATGTTGTCCATTGAAATTGAAATATGTAATCAGGAATACCAAATAATTCATTCCTTTTCACGAAAATGTCTAGAAACTGCCGATCTCCATCAAAACAAAATTACGCAAATTAAAAACGAGATTCTCAGTTCATGCTGAAAGGCTTACTGAGATAAGAACAAACTATTTTCTTCACTTCACAACAACCACTCACAAAATTGATGTCTGCGAGATTGTGTAATAGCCGAGTAGTAATATTTTTCTGAGCAATTATTTTTCCAAATTATGTCATTTCAGCAGCTCACATTGCGACAGTTAAACATTAAAACTGGCACAACACACACACACATAAATAATTTGAAATTATTATGAACATTTTCAAAGCAATAAATTTTTCTGGCATATCTTCATCTGGGCTACCACTCAACAAGTTTCTGTCCAGCAGTACGCTCTGAAGAAGGCCACAATATGCTGGCCGAAACGTTAAGCCACCATGACAGTGACGCGGCTCGTCTCGGATAGCCTAGGCAGCATAAACTCCAGCCGCGGAAGCCTACGCAACCATATCCTCAAGGCAGTGACCGTTATGGATTCGAGCCGCGGAAGCTCGCGTGTGCAATTGTATTTATTGCTTTTTCCGGAGTAGCTTTGATGAGCTTAATGCTTAAATTACCACATCCAATAGCCCTAATGTTCGGGATTTGGTTTATGGCTCAAAAGACTTCACTTTTTAAAATGAGTGTTTCTTTGAAATGTGCTGTTTGATTTGTTTCCATATCTTGAAGAGTATTGGCATGCAAATTTTTCATATATTCTATCCATCTTTCTATTATCGGTTTTCTGTCATTTATGATACTTCCGCCTGCACTTTTGATAGCTCCAGATTTCGGAACAAATTCATTGGTGATGCATCTTATGCTTTGAAACAATCTCTAGTTCTGTTCCTATGTCTGTGCTCTTCA